TGGGAGTGGGTGTGGGTGTGGGTGTGGGAGTGTGGGTTGGGAGTGTGGGTTTGTGTTGTGGTGTTTCATTTTATTTTTTTTTTTCGTCATCTTTTTTTAGGTTTACCTTCTCTCTGTCTAGGACTTCTCTTTATTAGATCTCCTTTTAGGCCCTTTTTCTTTTCGTCTCTCTTTGGGTGAGTGTGGAGTGTGGGAGTGTGGGTTGGGAGTGCGGGTGGGTGTGGGAGTGTGGGTTGGGAGTGTGGAAGTGCGTGTGGGAGTGTGGGAGTGGGTGTGGGTTTGTGTATGTGGTGTTTCATTATATTTTTTTTCGTCATCTTTTTTTAGGTTTACCTTCTCTCTGTCTAGGTCTTCTCTTTATTAGATCTTCTTTTAGGCCCTTTTTCTTTTCATCTCTCTTTAGGTATGTGGGTAGTGTGGGTTGGGAGTGCGGGAGTGTGGGAGTGTGGGTTGGGAGTGCGGGAGTGTGGGAGTGTGGGTTGGGAGTGCGGGTGGGTGTGGGTTTGCGTGTTTGGTTTTTCATTTTATTTTTTTTCGTCATCATTTTTTTAGGTTTATCTTCTCTCCATCTAGGTCTTCTCTTTCTTTCTTTACGTCTTCCTTTCATACAAATTCTGTATTGCCCGGTACCTTATATCACCGATCCACAAGATAAGCATAAACTGATTTATTATATTTTTCTTTCTTGAACATAAACTCTGACGGTATTTTTTAGTTTATAAGTACATGTAATTAATTTCACTATTTTGTCATCTTTTTTTTTTTTGCTTTACCAACATAAAAATTTAATGTTTAAATATTTGATTTTATGTATTTGAAAATAACAATATGTTTTAATACTTTTAAATTTTAAATTGAACGTCAAATTTTGTAATTACTATTTATTAATTAATACTTATAAAAAATTTGAATGAGTAATTTTTTGGATGAAATTGGGACTTTGAAAATCTTTAATGTTTTCACTAAAAAAAAATCAATTAGAGTTAGTAAGAAACAAAGTGTAAGGATATAAGTTAGAAATAAAAATAAAAATAAAAAAAGAAAAATACCTCGAGACTGAGAAAACGAACCTTGAAAAAATGAGATTTGACAAACAAATAAATATGACAAATCTGCCGCATGATCGAAGACCCAGGCGATGTTTACCAATTCCCAATATAATTTATATCATTCTTATTATTTTGTTAACTAATTATTACCTATATTAAATTCCTAATTATAATTATAAACAAAAAACTGCTATATCCATCTTAGTATTACATTATAATACTAAATTTTTCTATTTAAACAATCTCATTGGTCCCGGTGCGGAGCAACGGGTAACTGCTAGTACATAACTGAAAAAAAAATGAACCGAGTATACGATAATAAATTAATTTTTTATAGCTTTCAATTGTTCAATTTTCTTATCAATATCGATATTATCATTAGCATTATCATTTTTTCGATCTTCAAGATTTTTTATCAAATTTTCGATATTATCATTTAAACTTTTCTTCATCATTTTGAACTTTTCAATTTCAATTTTAATATCATCATCATCATCATATTTCCAAATTGAAAATTTATCATAAACCTTATCTTTAAAAACGAATTCTGCAAAAGTGGATTTTTTTTCAACATCCTTAAAAATAGGTCCATCATTTTTCCTATCCTCATACCACGTTTCAAAATGTTCTGATCGCCTAATATAGTAAATATATTTTGGATCATAATCATGGGACGAAAAATAATAATGATGCAATGCTTCATAATTTGCAATTTGATTCGCTCTAAATCTTAATAAAGCTTGTCTACCTTTAGTAGCTGCTTCTTCGTACACACCACTAAAAATAAATAAATAATAACTTATTAAATCCTAAAATAAAATATTGAAGCAAAATTTGATAAAATGCCTCACCCCATAAAAGCGATCAACATATTTTGCAAAATAGTTATTAAAAGGATACTGCCGATAAAGGTAAACACTTCAACAGCCCAAAAATCAAATGTATCTCTTTGAACAAAATTCCCGTTAAGCCAATAATATGTAGCTACAATTGCTGTAGGAAAAAATGAAAATGGATTGTCATTCCAATCTGTAGGATCAAAATTAGCTTTCATTGAGACATTAAGTTCTTGGCCGTTTACGAGATTCGTAGCAGTTCCATTAAACGTTGAATCTTTAGTTTTGATGTTCTTTGGATCATAAAGCAGAATATACCTATATAATAAATGAATTTTTTTTTGTTATTTTACATTTAAAAAATAAATAAAATGAAATATTAAAAAACTTTTAAAGCAAGGTAATACATTATATGTGCAAATGAAACTATTACGACGACGTTAAATAAAATAAATGGAAATACGGCTTTGATAATTACTATAACATAGTAAATATAAATGGCGATATCTATCAAAAAAATATAATTATAACAAGTAGCCATCAATAATTGGTCACCATTTCCTTAAAGAAATTTAATGTATTGTATATAATATATATACTTGGTATTAAACGGAGATATGAAATCTAAAAAATTATAAAATTTATTAAATTATACTTAATACTTAATAATTAAATGCAAAATTGCAACACAAAATACTAACCATTTCAATCCAAAGAAAAAAAATTGAAAAAGATATTAACGCAATTAATTCAGAATCAACTGTTTCAACACTTTCAAAGCCATCAGAAAAGCGAAAACTTCTAAGCATTATTGACATTACAATCACGGGAAGTAAAATGGAAAATACATCAAAATAATTAAATATATCATTAAAATATTTTCTATGCCCGTGAAAGTATAACTCTATAAATTCAGTAATTAATAGATAAGCTGCTAAATAATAAAATATGAAAATTAATGCAACTAAAAAATTTCGAAATTTCCCGCTTATAACTTCATGACTCAAATATTCCCAACTAACAAATATATAACAAAAGGCAAAAACAAGAAATCGAAGAAAAAGGAAGAAAAAGAAATTTCTCGCTTGTGGCCAACGAAAATCAATAACCGCCTCGGTTGCTAGATTGTCATATATATCATCATTATTCTCGTATCGCACCATCCTAGAAAAAGGGCTTAATTTTTCTTTCTCGTTCCGTCCAATTTTATACCATCGTGGTATAAATAAGAACAAAAAAACATTTAAAGCAATTTTTATTCTAGAATTTTGTTCTATATTTTTATGTGAAATTATATCTCTGGTAAATCCAGGAAGAGGAACAACTCTTAACGCTAAAGGCGACTTTTCAAGATAATTATCAAAATCTTCTAAGAAATTGTACAATCTTTTAAAAGGTTTCACCAATTTTCCAATTCTATTATACCATATACTACACTCGTCGGATTGCAGATTATCTATTCTAAACGCCCTAAATTTAATGTTATGGTTACGTTTCGCTTGATATTTTATTGGAATTATATTATAAGAATCTTGTACTGAAAAGTAATCTTGATTTGCAAAACATTCTTTACGAAATATCTTTCTGGCATAATCATCTGTGATAAAAGTTGTATATATCATAAATCCTTTTGAAAAACAAATATTAGAATTGAAAAAAAAAGACGAACCGTAATTATATTTAAATAATAAAGGTAATGCCTTAGACATAGTACTCATCCAACCCCCACTATCCGTTGCATGTCTAGAATAATATTCCAAAAGATAAGCAACAATGACGGTATCTTTGATTTCACGGCCTAGATATAAAAAATAAGTTAATCAATCTGTTCATTGATGCATAGTAATGCTTAAAATTAATTAATAAATTTGCCTTTGCAATGATAAATGGCTAATTCCATAACATTCGTTATTTCATACTCCTCGGTATCGTCATTTATGGTCGGTTTTTTTTTCCAAAATGTTTCCCTCGGTATATGTAACTTATTGGCGTTTTTATCGTCATCATTGTTTTCAAATAATATAAATTTTATCAAATGATCACAATCACCAAGAATCAAATTTTTCATAACGTTACGTCGAACATCTAGTAACCTAAAATCATCAGGCTTGTACTTAATAAATCTCCATATTATATGATTAATATATACAACCATATCTTCATACTTTATTAAAAAAAAAAAAATATTAATCCAATTCTTTTTGTTAATAAAACATGTTGAATTTATGTTATTGTAAACACTTACGAGATGCTCTTTAGTGTAATTCACGAGAAATTTCTTACGTTTATTGATAAATTCCAATGCTTTACACGCATGCCTGATTGCATTAACTTTATCAATAATATCTTGTCGATGAATTACTTTTTCCTTTCTTTCTACTTTATTTTTTTCATCTTTTTCCATTTCGATTATCGCTTCTCTATCTTTTTTCCTTTCCATTCTCGGTTCTTCATCCTTTTCCTTTTCCATTTTATTAATTTCAATATCATCATCTTTTTTTATTTCGAGTTCATCTTCGCTCACGCCCTTTGAAACTCTTTCGTACCAATAAACTTTCAAACAAAAATCGGTTAAATTAAAGTCAACATTCGATCTATATTCAAATTTTTCAATCCGTAATCTTGTCTTTTCTCTTTCTTGATTTACCGGGATACCATTTGTCCATATGTATTCGAGAAAGGGTTTTCCTTTGTTAGGAAGTTCGTCCTTGCTTTTATTTTTATCGTCAGAATTAATCTGATGCCAAACTTGGATAGTTGATCTACCAACTATAAGTTGTAAAGTTTCTATCTCTGATCCATTTTTATTCTGATAAAGACAATATGAATTGCTTTTGTAATCTTTGTAATTACCTAGCACCCATGGTTCTATCTCAACAACCATTGGTTTGACACCTTTAAAGTAACTTAAATCAGGAGAAGGAGGAAGAGGAGATACTATCTTTCCAATCATTTTCGATTGTTTTTGTTTTAATAATCTATCGACCCTTTTAACAATTGACGTAACATCTCCTTTATCATCAATTTGTAAAAGATTTCCTGAAGTTCTTGTTAAACGGGTATAAATATTTTTTGTTGTAAGAAAATCATCTAATTCTATCGTTTCAGTTTCTACAACATTATACATATCCCAAATTATAAGTTTTAAATTTTCCTCATCTTCAGAGACGCCAATACCAATTACAATTAATTTCCTATCATTTTCAAAGAATTCTACTAAGTAAATTTCTTCAATACCATCAAATTTTTTATTGATAGCTTCCAAACCATTTTCCATAAAATATAAACTTAATAGAAAGTAAGCATAATAAATTTTAGTTAATTTGATACTTTTATACGAAATTTAACTCGTAAGACGCAAATTACTCACTTGATGGAATGAAATCCTCGTGTAAAGCAGAGTAGTTGTTTGTTCTTACTAATTGAGAAATTCTTCCTATTATAATTTCTTATAAGTTTATCCTGACTATTTTCAACTCTTTTTGTGATGGTTTCTAACCTCATTTTTGCTAGATCGTAAACTAAAGATAATTTAAAAATATAATTATTTATTATGCATAGTGTAACAAACCAAATTTATAAATTTTTTAGAGTATAATTACTACCTTCAAGTAAATGTACGTTATCTTTGTAATGTTCAATCAGAAAATATTTATCGTAAATACATGAGAAAAGTAGGTTCATGCAGTCAGATATTTCTGAAGAATCTAATGCCTCTAATTTACGTTTGATATGTTCTGGATAATTAAATTTTTTGTACAATTTAAAATTATCTTTATAATCAAAACTACGCATACCATCGAAATTCAATACTATGAATCTTAAAATATCGCTTTCTAAACTAAGGACTTCGTTGTTTCTGGACTCATGTACAAATCTACATATTCCTGAAATTCCATGAATTTTATAGATAATAGTATTCTTAGTATCTCTATCAGAAACATAATTTCCATTAATTAGTTCAATGCGGTAGATGACAATAGTTCGATTTCTTTCCTTTGCTTTTTTTATTGTATTCTTCATATTCTTCATATCTTCATCGATTATGCGAGATACGGCGACAAAAATGAAACATTTACGTTTACAGTCTTTTGTGTCATTTGTGTATACATTCGATATATCGATTGACCATCCAGATTTTTCATCATTATTTGATGTGATTTCTTTGCCTTCGTCATTACCGTCTATTTTAAATTGTATAATAGTTTCGTTAATTTTATCGGATGTACTCTGGTTATTGTCTTTATACGGGCTATTACTAATATTCTTCAATATTTTAATCTGAAGGTTTTCTAATTTTTTTTTTTTTTTAAAAAAAAAAGGATTATTTTAATTATATATTGAAATTGTTTATCTTCTACAACAGCAAATATGAATTAATGAATTTACCTGTATCAAATGTGACAACAAATTTCCCATCCTGACATACTGCGATATGATAATTTTTCTTTTCATTAAAAGTAGTATCACTATCAGCAGAACTTAATACGGCTTTACTTATTTCGCTTTTAATCAATTTTGCATTTCCGTATTTCTTATACGTCTCAGAAGAGTAAACAGAATTTTTACGTTTAATAATTATGGCTTCTTGTTCACGGTCTATTGATTTCCTAGTATCAGAATAATTATTCACAACTAAATGACAAACATTTTCTTTTTCTTCATTAGACATTTCCTTTTTTTTTATGTTTTCGTGAATATAAAGTGCAAAAATTTGAGAGGGAATCCTTTTTTTTTTTGTAAAAAAATTTTTTTGAAAAATTTTTGTTTTGCAAGTGTTCTGGCATTGTAAGAAAACAAATTTGGTATTGTGTAATCGATATAACAGGAATGCGTAGTTGTTTTGGTCGGCAATAGCCTTGATGACAAATAGGTTTTCGCTAACCAGAAAAATTGTTTCCCAAGAATATTTAGTAAAAATGAAAAGTAGAGGGATGTGGCACATGGCACAGGATGATAAATATTTTATTATGATCAAAACGATTATATCCCCCTAATTAGGAAAGTAATTACAGATTCCCTTTTATAAACTCGTTAAAAGTGTAAGATAAAATAAAGTTATTAAATACTGCAACTCAATAAACTTTATGTCACATAGGCTAAACCAAATAATGCCTACAGAATGAATTGAATGAATTGATATGCCTCAGGCGTCAGATGTCCGCTGGATCACGTGCAATTACCATAAATGAGAGCAGGGTCGATGATTTTCTGCGGCAACAAAACATCAATGACAATGATCAATCCCATCTGCGCTAAAACTAAATTCTGCGTGCATACTGTGCATTAAAAAATACATTATTCTGCAACTTTTTGTTATAATATTTATGTATTTTGTATAATTCTGTGAAACTTTGTTATAATTTTTCAGTTATATATATGCGCAAAACATCTCACTATTTTAAACTACGATTAAAGTAAAGTATATTTAGTATATTTAAACTAGACAAAGACTCCATAGATAAATTTTGCCGATTATCATCTAAAATCGAATGATATTTAGAAAAACTTCTTTCTACACTATAATTATGTCTTAAAAAATACAAGTAAGAAGTTAACTTTTTCTAAAGGGATATCTGTTATAGTAAAAGCTTCAATCAAATCATGAATTATAGCTTTTTTTGATTCAGAAGAAGATAAAGTTGTATCAATTGTTTGTTGCTGCCAGTGTTTTTTATTTTCAAATAGCCGTTTTTTATTTTTGTGCGTTATAATATTAAGATGGTCATCAACTGTTGATTTTCGCATCCAGTCAATGGAATGATCGCAAAAATTACAATATAGAATTCCATTATCAACGAGAAATTCACCAGGAATTTCCTTTACTCTAGTATTGACAGTGTAGTGTTCCGTCCGTCTTCTTTTCGTCATCAAAAATGAAAAAAATTAGATTGATTATCATACACATATTAACCCCCCTTTTCATAACATTTCCGTGGCTGAAAATCATTTCTGCGGTTTCTGCGGCATTCTGTATTATGCAGAAAACCATATATTATATATATAAGACAATTAGAAAAAAGACTAATAAACATATTATCTAAATATTTATTCGTCATTCAGCATTAAAGCATATTGAAGAGAATTGATTATTGATATTAGACATCTAAAGTGATTTTCTTTTTAAATATTTTTTGCCAAAAAGTTTTCTTCAGTTGGGCTCAAATAGAACCCCAATCAATTGCTGAAAGTATAGTCATCCCGGTAGCTAGTCCTCCAAGCACCAGTCATTAAAGGAAGATTTTTCAGCTTTGATTCCTGTAAGCTCATTCTGGTTTCAACAGCGTTCATTTTGGTTTCTATAACCGTTACTGTCTTTTTCACATCTTTAACATCTTCTTTGAAGTCCTTCATATCTTTTTTGAAGTCGTTTATATCTTTTTTGAAATCCTTCATATTTTTTTTGATGTCCTTTATATCATTGTTCCGAATCATTTAATCATTTAATTGATTTAATTTGATCACATTATATGACGTGTATATATGAATTTATTCAAAAAACCTTAAGGATATACAGTCGACCCCCTATATAGTCACCCCCTGTATAATCACATCATATAAAATTCCCCTTTATAAGCACACCATATTTTGGCCCAATGTACTAATAAATATATTAGAAAAACCTCTTCTATAGTCACAACATATGACTTTTTTTATAATCACACCTTTTTTTTCGGTCCCGAGGGGTGTGACTATAAAGGGGTTGACTGTATATATAATTTTAGACTCTGAGCGTTCTTGAATGAAGGAATAAGAATTTCCTATCACAACTTCACTGCTGATCTTTAAGGCCGTCTAAACGTGGCATGGCGTTTGGGTTTCAATATATGGCTCCTGATCCACTCCATCTAATCTAAACCGGAAAACGTACTTTTTACATAATCTTTTTAGTTCTTTCATATTCTGGAAATTGTATTTAGCAGTTACATGGAATTCCGGAGATACACAACATATAATAAAAAAATTTTAAGGATTAAATTGATAATTCAGGCCAGATCTTAATAATTCTGACTATTTTCAAAAAAAAAAATTTGCTGGCTAGACTTAAATTATAATTCTGGCCAGCATTATATTTTGGCTCAATTTTGACTTATTATATAATGATTGTCACGTGACATATGATTATAATTAAATTTTTCTACACATAGTACCCGACATATACCTCGTACTCCAAGATTTTATGTATGAAAACCAAATGAAAAAAATGTTAATGAAGCGAGCTCTCAAGAATAGGGAGAATGTGAAAGAAGTCCATTCAAATTGTCTTGGCGTAGCTATAGTGCTATACAGTTACAATACAAAAATACAATACCATTACTGGAGAACGTAACACACAATTTCGACGACTCATGGAGAAACAGTATACTAAAGAGACTCTAGTTTCTCAGAAACAATATTACAAATCTTATTCACACCTTCGATTCGACGCCGTTCGTTCGCCGCAACAATTACAACGATGGAGCCACCTTACCAATGGTACTCCCAATCAAGAACGATAAACTTATAAAGTTAAACCGTTTATTCTTAATGAACTGGAACCGGGTCTTCCTAATCCCACGGTCTTCAAAGCCATACATCATCTTCCGTACAAGTACGTGGATACGTATCTTGCTTCGTGAAATGCACCACTGTTAGATCCGAATTACAAAAATATGAAACGTCGATAGAGAAATTGGGTCCAGCGTTTGAAGAACGGAATAAGAAAAAAAAACTGCCTCCTCTCCCTTCTGGTATGACTGGAGACCCGAAGAATTATTATCGTCAAACCTACAATATCAACTTGTTCGACTACAAAGTACGACGTCGGTTCGACATCAATTCTATCTCACATTACGGTTACGATCGTGCCATTGAACTTCACCAAATGTACCTTTGAAACGCTCGCTCACAAGTCATGGAAAATGTTACACCTTCAGCGAACGCGAAACCGCGTTTCATTATTTCACAAAAAATCGTAACATTATTAACGACCCAACATTTATTTCTGCAGGCCGTGAGCGATTGCTCATATACATCCGCAACAGAATCCATAGACACTGTTATTTACCTGCCGAAGCCGGCGCATGATTAAATAGAAACTTTAAAAACAACTATGGACCTTTTTTTTATAATATATCATCCTATACCTGACAGTACTATTTACGTATAGTGCCTTTCGGAGTAAAAGAAAAATATGGTTCATGATGCTTGGGCTTGAATTCTTATTTTTATTATTGATGTTCGCAGGAAGTGTGTTAATGTATACGGGTCCGGTCACACCTAATGGTCTTGGGGAAATAACAGCGTTACTTTGTAACGGGTTAGGTAGTTACTTCTATATATAGTATAGCCTATCTTTTAATTAGTATAGCGTCTATTACTTGTTTTGTATCTCGTCTATATTGATTATAAATAGTGTATTAATTTCGAAATTTAAATTCAAAAAAAAAAATGTATTATTGAAATTTAGCAAAGAAAATGACTTTATCTAAATTTTGAAATATAAAAATATAAAAACACAAAAATAATACAAAATTGAGAAATGATAAAGAAATATACTGACTAATACAGTAACTAAATAAACTACCAATTAACTAAATAAAATTAATATTTTATGGCCTTCAATATTTCAATTTTCTTATTAATTTCAATATTATTATTAACATCGTTATCACTTTTTTGATCTTCTAAATTTTTTATCAACTCATCAATATTATCATTCAAATTATTCTTATTACATTTTCGAACAAGATTTTTTATCAAATTATCAATATTATCATTTAAATCCTCAAGTTTCTTATCAATATCGATATTATCAGCATCGTTATCATTTTTTTGATCTTCAAAAATTTTTATCAAATTTTCGATATTATCATTTAAATTATTCTTCATTGTTTTAAACTTTCCAATTTCAATATTAATATCAACATTACCATTTTCCTTAATTTTTTGATCTTCAAAATAATTTATCAAATTATCGATATTATCATTTAAATAATTCTTCTTTATTTTGAACTCTTCAATTTCTTTCTTAATATCAATATCATCAATATCATCATATTTCTTATCATTTTTTTGATTAAAATATTTTATCAAATTTTCGATATTATTATTCAAACTCTTCTTCATTATGTTGAACTTTTTAATTTCACCTTCAAAATCAATATCATACTTCCAAAGTGAAAATTCATCATAATCTTTTTCTTCAAAAACAAATTTTGAAAAAGTGGATTTTTTTTCAAAATCACTAAAAATAGGACCATCGTCTTTTCTACTCTCATACCACGTTTCAAAATGCTTTGATCGACCAATATAATAAATATATTTTGGATCAGGTTTAATCTGTGGAAAATGAACTTGATTTAATGCTTCATAATTTGCAATTTGATTTGCTCTAAATCTTAATAATGCTTGTCTGCCTTTAGTAGTTGCTGTCTCGTACACACCACTAAAAATAAATATTAAGTTAAAAAAATAAAATTTATCAAATTCTAATAAATTAATATTGGTACAAGCCTTTACCTCATAAAAGCGATAAACATATTTTGTAAAATAGTTACTAAAAGGACACTGGCGATAAAGGTAAACACTTCAACAGCCCAAAAATCAAATGAGTCTCTCTGAACAAAATCACCGATAAGCCAATAATATGCAGAAATTATTGATGTAGAAAAATATGAAAATGGATTATCATTCCGATCTGTAGAATTAAAATCAGCTTTCATTGTGACATTCATAATTTCTTGGCCATTTACGGGATTCGTAGCAGTTCCACTAAATGTTGAATCTTTAGTTTTAATGATCTCCGTATTAGGATCGTAAAGCAGAATAAACCTATGTATAAATAAATTTTTGTCATTTTAAATTTAAGATAAATAAAAATTTAAAATTATAAAAAAAATTTCAAAGGTATTACATTATATGTGCAAATGCAATTATCATGATGGCATTAAATAAAATAAATGGAAGTACGGTTTTGATAATTATTATAACATAGTAAATATAAATGGCGATATCTAACAAGAAAAAAAATAATGATAACAAATGGTAATTAATAGTCAATCACTTATTTCCGTAAAGAAAGTCAATTTATATATAATGTACTGTACTTGGTATTAAGCGGAGATACGAAATCTATGAAAATTACAAATTCTATAAATTATATTATTTTTGTTAATTTAAACGCAAATTGCTGTACAAAAAACTAACCACTTCAATCCAAAGAAAAAAAGCTGAAAAAGATATCATCACTTTTAATTCAGAATCAATTGTTTCAACACTTCCGAAGCCATTTTCAAAGCGAAAATCTCTAACCATGTTTGATATTACTATCACAGGAAATATAATTGAAAATATATCAAAAAAGTTATATATATCACTAATATATCTTTTCCATTCATACATGAATTGTATAATTTCAGTAATGAGTAAATAAGTTGCTAAATAATAATATATAACAATCAATGTAAATAAAAAATTTGCATTTATAATAATGCTATGATCCACATATGCCCAACTGATTAATCCAAAACAAAGGACATAGAGAAGGAATCGAAGAAAGAGAGAGAAAAAGAAAGTTCTTGCTCTTTTCCAACGAAAGTCTATAATTGCTTCAGTTGCTGGATTGTCATAAATATCGTCATTGTTCTCATAATAAACTACTCTAGCGAAAGGGCTCAATTTATTCTTTTCCTCCCAACTAATGCTGTACCATCGTGGTATGAATAAGAACAAAAAAATATTCAAAAGAAAATTTCCTCCCTCTGGATTATTCTGTTGTGAAGCACGATTATTTATAGTAAATTCAGGAAGTGGGACTACTCGTAAAGCTAATGGTTGTTTTTCAAAATCTTTATTGATCCATTCTTCTAATTTTTTATATATTGTATTCGTAATAGATTTGTATGTTTCCCAAATCATACTGTGCAATTTAATTTTGTCAGAACGCAAATTGACTTCAAACGCTTTAAATTGAATTCCATGGCTACTATGCCTTTCTTGATATTTTACTGGAATAATAATATTATGTTTTTGTACTGAAAGGTAATTTTGATTTGCAAAACATTCTTTACGAAATAATTTTTTGACGTAATCATCTATATAAATAAAAAAATTACATATAAATATCGAATCCTTTCCGAATCTTAAAAAAGAATTAAAATAATGAACGAACCATAATTGTATTTAAATAATAGAGGGAGAGCCTTAGAAACGGTACTCATCCAACCCGCATAATCTGTTGCGTGTCTAGAATAATATTCCAAAAGGTAAGCAACAATAATGGTATCTTTAATTTCACGACCTAGATTATAAAAAATAATTAATTAATCTGCTTAATGATATAGTATATTGCTTAAAAATTAATTAATCAAAACTTACCTCTGCAATGATAGATTGCTAATTCCATAACGTTCGTTATTTCATACTCTTCGGTGTCGTCATTTATAATCTTTCTTTTTTTCCAAAATGTTTTCCTCGGTATATGTAAATTATTGATTTTTTCATCATTATTGTTGTCTCCAAATAATATAAATTTTATCAAATGATCACAATCACCAAGAATCAAATTTTTCATAACATTACGTCGAACATCTAGCAATCTAAAGTCATCAGGCTTGTATTTAATAAACCTCCATATTATTCGATTAATATATGCAACCATTTCCTCACACTTCGTTAAAAAAAAAGTAGGAAAATATATGTTAGTCCAGTTCTTTTTATAAAAAAATATATTGAATTCGTAAAGTAATATATAGTAAACACTCACGTGATGTTCTTTAGTGTAATTCACAAGAGATTTCGTACGTTTATTGATAAATTCCAATGCTTTGCACGCATATCTAACTGCATTAACTTTATCAATAATATCTTGCGGTTGAATAACTTTTTCCATTTTGGTTATCCCTTCTCTACCTTTTTTCTTTTCCGTTCTCAATTCTTTGTCCTTTTCCATTCTAATAATTTCAATATCATCATCTTTTATTTTGAGTTCATCTAGATCATCTTCACTCTCGTCCTTTGAAACTTTTTCATACCAATAAACTTTCAAACAAAAATCGTTTAATTTAAAGTCATTTAATTTACTATCTTTCGGTCCATATTCAAATTCTTCAATCTGTAATTTTGTCTTTTCTCTTTCTTGATTTACAGGAATACCATTTGTCCATATATATTCAAGAAATGGTTCTCCTTCGTTAGGAAGTTCGTCCTTGCTTTTATTTTTATCGTCAGAAGTGATTTGATGCCAAACTTGGATAGTAGATCTACCAACTATAAGTTGTAGAGTTTCTATCTCTGATCCATTTTTATTTTGATAAAGACAATAAGAATTTCTATCATAATCACCTAACACCCATGGTTCTTTCTCAACAACTATTGGTTTGAAATATGGATTTGTATTTTTATCATAATATATAGTATGCCTTTTATCTGGTTTTCCATTTGGTTTTTTACCAGGACTTTCAAGTAATTTATTTGCTGGACTTATAATTATATCCTTTTCCTTTTCTTCTTCAAGCTCTTTAAAGACCGATGAAACTTCTCCACTATCATCGATTTGTAAAATAATTCCATAAATTCTGGCTAAACGAGTAGTAAGATTATCTTTCTTAAGAAAATTGTCTAATTCTATCGGTGTTTCACTTTCTTCAAAATTATACATGTCCCAGATTATAAGCTTCAATTTTTTCTCTTCTGGGTCGCTGCTACCTATTACGAGTAATTTCTTACTATCTTGAATAAATTCTAATAAGTAGATTTTTTCAATACTTTTAAATTTCTTTGAGATGGCTTCCAAACCATTTTCCATAAAGTATAATCTTAAGGAAGTAAACATAATAAATTGGTTAATTTAGTAATTCTTTACGAAATTTAATTCGTGAGACGTGAGTTACTCACTTGACAGATTGAAGCCCTCGTGTAAAGCAGAGTAGTTGTTTGTTCTCACTGATTGAAAAATGATTTCTATTATATTTTCTTATGAGCTTTTCTTGACTATTTTCGATCCTTATTGTAATAGTTTCCAATTTCATTTTTTCTAGGTTGTAAACTAAAAAAAAATTTTAAATTAGTATATATAATCTTTTATTATATATAGTATGTAATAATAAATTTATATAAAATTTTAAAATTTAATTACTACCTTCAAGTAATTGTACGCTATCTTTGTAATTCTCAACAAGAAAATATTTATCATAAATATAAGATTGAAGTAGATTTATGTAATCAGATATTGTTGGAGAATCTAATGCCTTTAATTCATGTTTGATACATTGTGGATAATAAAATTGTTTGGATAATACAAAATTATCTTTACAATCAAAACTATGTATACCATCGAAATTCAATATTACGAATCTTCTTATAGTTCTTAAAGTAAAATATTCTTTGTTACTTTCTGAATTAAGAACTTTTTCGCTTTCAGACTCATTTATAAATCTACATATTCCCGAAATTCCCGAAATGTGATAGGTATTAGTTTTCATAGTATGTTTATAATTTTTATTTGTTTTTTCTAGTTCAAGGCGGTAGATCATTGTAGTTCCATTTCTTGTTTCTCCCGGTGTACTCGTCAGATCCTTATCGACTATACGAGATAAGGCGACATAAATGAAATATTTATTCATATCTTTTGTGTATAAATTCGATATATCGATAGACCATCCAAAATTTTCATCATTAGTCGAGGTGGTTTCTTTTCCATCATCACCGTCGTCCTCATCATGATTGTCATCGCCATCGACAATTATAGTGTGTTGTCGTTCTTGAGATATAGTGAAATCACGGCCTATTTTAAATTGTTCGATTATTTTGTAAATACTATCGGTGTTCTCCAACAACTTAATTTGAAGAGTTTCTAAATTAAAAAAAGATTAGCGTTGGAATTATTTAATTTATGCAACAGCAAAGATGAAATAATGAATTTACCGGTATCGAATGTAGCGACAAATTTCCCATTTTGACAAATTGCGATATGATACTTGTTATCATTAGTGGTACTACCATCAGAACTATTTGATCCATCTACATCACGATTATAGCTCAACTTGGTTTTATTTTTATTGCTTTTAATAGATTTTGCATTCATGTATTTTTTAAATGGTTCGGTAAAAGTGCCAACCTTTTCAACATCATGTTTAATAATTATGACTTCTTGTTCACTATCTATTGATTTCCTACTAGTATCAGGGTTATTTACAGGTAAATTGTTATCTTTTATTTCATTGGCCATTTTTTTTTTTATGATTCGTGAATCGTGAATATGAAATGGGAAAATTATTGAGTGGAAGTCTTTATATGTGAAATTATTATTATTACAATTATTTTAATTTTTTATTTTTATTTATTTATTTTTTTTTACTGTATAAAAATCCTTTCCTTTTTTATTATTGTAGGGAATAAATTTGGTATTTTAACAATGTAATCCTTTGAAATTACCTATTGACTTGTTAAATTAGGAAAATGATTGCACATTCACATTCCCTTTTATGAACTCATAATTACAGTTTATATAATGAATTGAATGACAACTGATTAGTCACGTATAATGATAAATGTAAATGGGAAATTTTAACTTTGAGAAAATTTGTTTTCCAAATGTTCTATTGTTGTCAAGCGTTGACCTATAAAGCGGGGCCAACATTAAACATAAAATTCGTGCCACAATGTCGCACATACCGTAATTACTTTTTGCCACAAAACACAATCTTGTTTAACAAATACTATAATTCATTCTATAACTATAATTGGTTTAGGCTATGTAAGTAATGTAACATAAAGTTCATTATAAATGGATAATAAGGAAATGTAATAATCGACTAACTACTTTGAGTATTTTCCTAATTTGGATCATCACTCTTGATTTATTATGGCGTGTAATGATTTGTGAATAATATGTAAATATTAAACTCTTACGCTAAAAATTATTAAAATTTTATTTAACTTGGAATAAGATGAGCTTCAAATAGTAAAGGTGAATTAATGTTGATCAAACAAAATGAACAATATCAGCGGATTTGCGTAATCACATGTTAGTAAATTAATTAGAGAACTGAGTTGTCCCATTTCTATAAAAGACATGTGATTAAGTAAATCCTCTGGTATAAAAAAAAAATAAAATAATTAATTTATCATTCATTCAGACAATAATTTATTTGCGTAAATATGCAATCTTTTTTTTTTTTTTTTTTTTTGAAAAAAAAAAACTTTTTTTCAAAGGTCAAGGGGGGCATGCATCGACTGCATCGTTAGTTAATCGAAATATAGTTAGTAGCTTAGAAAACCATTGTGTTACATGATTATCTGGAAAACGTTATCAGTCATTTTGTAGATGATAACTGATTTACCTATGTATATCGAAGGCCACATGATTAGAGTAGCGTAAACCAGTTACCATAAACATGACCACTAATTTTAAAGTGATCAATAACATACGTGAAAAATGTCCAGTGCTTATATAGAACATATACAATAAAACTAATTTATTCGACATTAATATATTTAGGGGCTCATATTAAAAAATGTCCTTCGGATAATGAGAATATTTATTCTGAACATTTGTTATCATGTTGAAATAAACTAACTATTAAAAAATTTTCCAAATTTCAATTATCATTCAACTAAATGAAAATTAATTAATCCATCCATTTACGATAGTTACAAATTTTAAATTTTTTGAAGTAATTATGCATTTGCATCGTTAACATAAGGTTGCCAAGAGATTTGTGCTACCTTAAATGATTTTTTTATATACAGTATGTTTACCAAATTGTTGGGTCTTTTTGTGTAATAATCAATTTCCTTTTTCCAAAAAATCTCCTTTCTAAATGAGGATTATCTTACCACACCTAGTGATGGGATTCCCATGGAATTTGCAGGAATTTATCGGGATCTGTGCAAATTTTACTTAGTAATACTGTACAAATCTCATAAAATTTCGATAATGGTTAATTTAACCCCAATCCCTGACCACACCACCTCGCGTAGCACAAATATTAATAGTGTTATAGTGATCAGATCACAAAAAAATTAAAAGTCGCTGAAATAGATATGATATAAACAACGCGACCGCCGCCATCACGTGACCATGTGACAAAATCATCACTGAACGGCTGTAGATTTACCCCTAAATGACTGTTCATTTTTATATAAAAGTATTCAGTATCAGATGCTGACTAATTAATAAACTCTATTTTATTAAAATCATTTTTTTTTTTATAATATAAATTATTATTATTAATTACTAATTAATTAATAAATATTCATTTGATCGTAATGTAGTGCTGCGGATAAGGTTCACACTACATTTTTTACTCGTATTACGGATAGATGAACCATTATTTTTTTTTTCATTTTGAATTACTAATCGACTCTTTTTCTTTATTGTTATTTTAGGTTCGGACAATGCTCTGTAATTTTTTTTTTTAATTTTTTTTATGTCAAACATTACTAATCGACCCGTCCTTTTTCTTTATTGCTATTTTAGATTCAGTCTTGAAGCTTCGGAATGGCAGAAATATGTTTTAACATTTCAAATTTTAAATTTTGTTAAGATTCAGAAATTCTCTCTTTTTTTAGACACGTTTAGAACGCGGATTTTGGTAGGAAAATGAATATGTTTTTTAATCTTATTTATTCAACAAAATGTTTCTAACATTTCATTCTTTTCTTTTTTTTATTTAGATGCATTACATTTGGTAGATTTTTTGTAGACGTGTCTGGAACATAGATTTTGGTGAGATTTGGAAATTTTATTTATATTAACGAAATGCTTTCTAACTTTTTATCATTTTCTTCTTTTTTAGTTGGGACGCTACTAGGAAATTGAAGGTTTTCTTGGTGAGAAATCGAAGATGTTTTTTTTTTAATTTTATTGATTTCAACGAATCTAACATTTTAACTTTTTCACTTTTAATCAGATCTGGAACGTGAGAATTCAGAAATTTTTCTTTTTTTTGGATCAGCTACTGGTTTGGATCTTTGACACTTAGAAGGGTATTAAGACATTTTTTTCAAAAAATCATTGTTTTTTTTTGGTTTTTTTTTTTAGATGGCTTGCTTCTTATACGCGGATTTTGAAAGTTTTTTTGTTTTCTTTAATTCATTTATTTTAACGAACTGTTATTAATGGTTCTTTTTTTCTTTTGTAGATGTTTCTTTGGCCATTTGGACATTTGGTGCCCTTGACTTTGATCATTTGAATTTTATTTTGTAGGTCTTCTTAATTTCGGCTACTTGGATCAGACTGTAATTTTTGTTGCTCTCAATTTCAACTTCGATTTTATTTTGTAGGTCTTTCACTTTGACTTCTTGAAAATTCTTATAGAAACTTAACCAATTTCTTTATTTTGTAGGATTTAACTCTTGAATGTTGAAACCGGATTAAAGGTATATTGAATAAGGGAATGAGTGATGAAGAAAATATTAATTTTTTTATTATAGGAATTCAACTCTTGAACAACAAACTTCAACTTAAAGGTAGGTTGAATAGAAAGGTGTGATTTTATTTATTTATCAGAAATGTTTCATTGAATTTTTCTTTTTCATTTTTTGCAGATTGAAATGTAGACAATATTCTTTCAACTTGGATTTCAAATTGTTTAGTATTTTTAAAGTAGTTTAGTATTTAAAATAGTTTAATATTTTTAAATAAATTTTACAATAAATTTAACAATAATTTATGTTAAATATATATGTTAATAAATTAATTTTATGATAAATTTTATACTAATTATTGTACAATGTCCCTACAAGACCAATAACGAGTATTTTAACATGGTTTGTATATAATGTACTGTAATATTAATTTTACAATACATTTTAAAATTTAAGTTGTTAGCAAAGTAGTCTTAAACAGTCTGGCGGCGACGAAGTCGCCGCATATAAACCTACTAGTTAACTAATAAAAAAATGATGACAAAATTTTATTAGGTGCTTGTCACGTGATTAAATCGTTATTACGCGTTTAAATAAAAAAATAAAAAATGTTGGGGACTAATGGACTATAGTAAAGAAAAATAGAAACATCATAAGAAAAAGATAGACATATCAATAAAAAAACTAACTTCTATTAAACTCCACTATAACAAAAAAAATATACGTAAAAAATAATAAACTCGAAGGCGACCAGTGATGCTACAGGATAAAGCTTTGATGGTAAATTATTCCACTTTGTTATTAAACGAACGGTAACTCTTGCACCATCTCCAAATTTATTACAATAATTGTTTAGCCAAATTCTGGAATTACAACAATCACTATTGGTAGTAATCATAATTTAAACCTCCTGATCCACATACTCCGACATAAAAATATTATTACTCATGCTTTATAACGATAAACATCCATGATTACTTCTGATGGAATAATTCTCAATGCTACAATAATTTTTTCTAATATTACTCTTTAAATCAATATATTTAATCAAAGGTTCTAATATATCAGCAACTTTTTGACAATCGGTATTATTTTCTACTTGGATATACTCTACTTGTTCTAAAACTGGTAACCGTTTAAAAAGAGTTACGTCTGGAAACTAATTTTATATTATAAAATTTTTAAACTAATAAGTTAACCTCATTTCAGTTACGGCCATACACAGTGAAAAACACCAGAACCCGCTCGATCTCCAAAGTTATAGTAATGCATCATTAGATACTTTTTTTCCTGTTAAAATAGCACTATATCGGAGAAACTCGTATTCTGGAGTTGCAAAGGACTTGTTTTCTCTTGTGTGTAAGACAAGAGATATTGGAGAGCTTCAAGAGATAATCGATCAAATTCAATTACATTTATTGCTAATTCTTTCGACTATTAAGTTTATAAGAATATTATTTCCCATTAATAACCCTATAAAAAATTTCCTGAGTAAAATTCCGATAAATGATCATTTTTCTAGTTTTGATTCCAAAAAAAACTCCGATATGTGATCAATTTTCTAAAAAATTTTTTAGAGTAAGTAACATTTTCTTTTTTTCCACGACGTTTGTCAGTAATTCCGGTAAATAATGTTTTGTGCAGCTTTTTAGTATTGTAAAGCATCTTTAAAAATTCTTATAATAAACTCTTGGAGGTTTGGTAATAAGAAATAATCCGCGGCATTATTATCTGTTAAAGTTTCTTCTCTAACTGATCCTGTATAATCGTATTCCAATATAATTTTCATTTCAGAAGAATTAATCAATTATATTATTATCTGTTAAAGTTTCTTCTCTAACTGATCCTGTATAAGCGTATTCTAATATAACTTTCATTTCAGAAGAATTAATCAATTATATTATTATCTGTTAAAGTTTCTTCTCTAACTGATCCTGTATAAGCGTATTCTAATATAATTTCATTTCAGAAGAATTAAATGTTGGAAAACAAATTTGAGTTTCGTAACTTTCTTTCATTCCATTATAAAGTAGCCCAAAATTTTCTGGGAAAAATTCCGATAAATGATCATTTTTCTAGTTTTCATTCCAAAAAAACTCCGATATGTGATTAATTTTTTAAAAAAATTTTTATAGAGAATAATGATTTTTAAATCTTGATCGAGCGACATTTTTTTTAAAAAAAAGATAATTTGTAGGGTAGGTTTACATGGAACAATAAATATTTATTTATTTTGCACAAACATTCCGATGTATTACCAAATAAGTATTATTGGCACGATAAGTATTTAAACAACGCGTTTGTACTTCAAACACATTATATAATGATGACGTATGATACTGTACCACCATCTGTTTGAAGTCCTGAGGACACATTTACAGCTAGACTCTCTTTATGCAAGGTACGCACGCGTAATCCACAGTCATTTTTATTGTCGTGCTAACACGTTTTTTGTATTGCCACTCGTCCGCGCCGTGTACACTCTGTGTACGTTCTGTAATACGTTTAAATTTACTTTGTCGTCTGTGCTACTTACGATCCATCAGCGCTTCGGACATTCCAATGGTTCCCGTTCTCCTACACTTGTACATGTAATACAAATGCATATAATAATTACCTAAACTTCAAAGATATAAAAAGTTTTTCGGTAACTAATTTATGTTAACTAGTCTATATATTTGTATTTTTAACTTACTCTTTTACTACCGATACTTCCTTCTTTTTATTTGAACCTCTGTATACTCCTGCAAAAATATCACTGTCATCACCTTTGTTTTCTTTCATAATGGCTTCTTCTTCGTCCTTCTACTGATTCACTTCTTCATTCCTCTTTGAATTTTCATTATCTTGTTTCCTTTACCACATACTCCGTTTTATTATAAAATTTAAATATTTTAAGAAACTTTATTATTAAAAACAGCGGTTGTTTTTACATATTTAAAAATATTAAAAAGAATAATGTTTATTAAATATTAAAGAATAAGACTTCTTTCATTAAAATTTTAAATAAAATAAATAGTATAAAGTTCTACACTTCGTTCAGTCGTTTCAGACAATTAGCAAATCCAACTAATTTTATTTTATTAATTTTTTAAAAAAAATAAAAAAAAAAAGAGAATATAAAAATTAGTCATGATTTTATTTGAATCACTTGATTTAATATATTAATAATTTTATTATTTTAATTATAGTCAGCGCTCACTAAGGCCTGTCTCTTATACACATCTAGATGTGTATAAGAGACAGGAATACATATAATGCATTACACTTTCCTTTTTGAAGAATGTCTAAAGTAGAAGTAAATTATATAATTTCAAAAAAAAAAATTTTTCTAAAATAACAAGTAAACATTAAACATAGCAGGGAGCTTTAAATAATATTGAATAGTAAAATTTTATTATAATTAGATCCTATAAAAACATTGGATACATTTTAATAAGTTATACAATTTTTTTCCTTAGAAATAACGTGTCTATATAGGGATACAGGAAAATGCACACAAAAACGCATGATTTGATCATGGAATTTACGCTGAATTTACATTGATTTGGTCACAGAATTTACATAATTTGAGCATAAAATTTACAAGAATTGGTCAATGAATTTACTGCTTAAAATTACAATTATTTTATATTACGATTTTCTTTAAATAAGTTTCTTGTTACCTTCACCGATAGGTGTAAATTTGGTCTTTAAGAAATTTTATAATTCAATATTTTAGATTTGTTGTAATTGATTTGATCGGCTAATTTATTTCAATTCGTTTGCAGAATTGCAGTAGAAATTTTTCTTAATAATACAATATTTATCATCACGTTTAATTAGTCACGTGGAATATATTTTACGAAAAATTTATAGCGCAGCAATTGTGATAATACACGAAAAAAAAATTCAAAATTTTAAGGGTGGTATTACGACGGATTATTAAATATTCAAATGGAATAAGCCATTAAACACAATATAAATAAATATGTTAATAAAAAAATAAATAATCAATTATTAATTAGTTCCGGCAAGGAAACTCACGAAAAGAAAATTCCGCAGTTTGATCGTTCTAAAGTAAAAGCGCAGACATTCACTCATAAGTTACTATACTATTGCTAGCAAATAATAATTATAATATTTTGTTCTAATAACCTTATGAAATTTAAATTGCAAAAAAAAAATAAAAAGATTAAATTTAGCTACATAGAAAATACAGGATATATAATAATATATAAAATAAAAGACTAATGAAATATATAGTATTAATATTTTATAGCCCTCAATATTTCAATTTTCTTATCAATATCGATATTATCGTCATCATTATCATTTTTTCGAGCTTCAAAATTATTTATCAACTTTTCGATATTATTATTTAAATTCTTCTTATCAAGATTTTCTATCAATTTGTCGATATTATTATTTAAACTCTCCTTTGTTTCAATTACATTTTCATTTTTCTTAATTTTTTGATCTTCAAAATATAATAATTTTTCGATATCATAATTTAAGCTGTTGTTCATTGTTTTGAAATCTTCAATTTCTTTATTAATATCGATATCAATTGTTTTAAAATTTTCAATTTCTTTTTTAATATCGATATCTTCAATTTCTTTTTTAATATCGATATCATCATTTTTTCTATTGTTTTGATTTTCAAAATATTTTATCAAATTTGCGAAACTGTTCTTTATTGTTTCAAAACATTTTATCAAATTTGTGAATCTGTTGTTTATTGTTTCAAAACTGTTGTTCATTGTTTCGAAATTTTCAATATCGATATTGCCATTCTTATTTTTTTGATCTTCAAAATATTTTATCAAACCATCGATATTAACATTTAAACTCTTCTTCATTGTTTTGAACTCTTCGATTTTGACATCATCAATTTTCTTATCATTTCTTTGATCTTTAAAATATTCTATCGAATTATCGATATTATCATTTAACCTCTTGAACTTTTCGTCAATATTCTTATTTTCTTTAAAAAGTATTATCAACTTCTCGATATTATCAAATAAAATATTCTTTTTTGTTTTGAATTCTTTAATTTTATTATTAATATCCCCATTTTTATCACTTTTTTGATCAAAATATTTTATCAAATATTCGATATCATGATCTAACCTAATTTTTATTGTTTTGAACTCATTAATTTCATCAATATCAACATTTTCCTTATCATTTTTTTGATCCTCAAAATATATTATCAAATTATTGATATTATCATTTAAATCCTTCTTCATTGTTTTTAACTTTTCAATATCGTCATCATATTTCTCATCATGTTTTTGATCAAAAATTTTCGTTAAATTTTCTATATATTCATCTAAACTCTTCTTCATTATTTTGAACTTTTCAATTTCACGTTCAGAATCAATATCGATATTATATTTCCAAATTGAAAATTCATCATAATCCTTTTCTTCAAAAACAAATTTTGAAAAAGTGGATTTTTTTTCAAAATCACTAAAAATAGGACCATCGTCTTTTCTACTCTCATACCAAGTTTCAAAATGTTTTGATCGACCAATATAATAAATATATTTTGGATCAGATTTAATATGTGGATAATGAACTTGATTTAATGCTTCATAATTTGCAATTTGATTTGCTCTAAATCTTAATAATGCTTGTCTGCCTTTAGTAGTTGCTGTCTCGTACACACCACTAAAAATAAATATTAAGTTAAAAAAATAAAATTTATCAAATTCTAATAAATTAATATTGGTACAAGCCTTTACCTCATAAAAGCGATCAACATATTTTGTAAAATAGTTACTAAAAGGACACTGGCGATAAAGGTAAACACTTCAACAGCCCAAAAATCAAATGAGTCTCTCTGAACAAAATCACCGCTAAGCCAATAATATGCAGAAATTATTGATGTAGAAAAATATGCAAATGGATTATCATTCCGATCTGTAGAATAAAAATCAGCTTTCATTGTGACATTCATAAATTCTTGGCCATTTACGGGATTCGTAGCAGTTCCACTAAATGTTGAATCTTTAGTTTTAATGATCTCCGTATTAGGATCGTAAAGCAGAATAAACCTATGTATAAATAAAATTTTAGTTATTTTATATTTATAATAAATAAAAATTTAAAATTATAAAAAAAATTTCAAAGGTATTACATTATATGTGCAAATGCAATTATCATGATGGCGTTAAATAAAATAAATGGAAATACGGTTTTGATGATTATTATAATATAGTAAATATAAATGGCGATATCTAACAAGAAAAAAAATAATGATAACAAATGGTAATTAATAGTCAATCACTTATTTCCGTAAAGAAAGTCAATTTATATATAATGTACTGTACTTGGTATTAAGCGGAGATACGAAATCTATAAAAATTATAAATTTATTAACAGTTAAAATTATATTTGTTAATTTAAACGCAAATTGCTGTACAAAAAACTAACCACTTCAATCCAAAGAAAAAAAGCTGAAAAAGATATCATCACTTTTAATTCAGAATCAATTGTTTCAACACTTCCGAAGCCATTTTCAAAGCGAAAATCTCTAACCATGTTTGATATTACTATCACAGGAAATATAATTGAAAATATATCAAAAAAGTTATATATATCACTAATATATCTTTTCCATTCATACATGAATTGTATAATTTCAGTAATGAGTAAATAAGTTGCTAAATAATAATATATAACAATCAATGTAAATAAAAAATTTACATTTATAATAATGCTATTGTCCAAATATGCCCAACTGATTAATCCAAAACAAAAGACATAGATAAGGAATCGAAGAAAGAGTGAGAAAAAGAAAGTTCTTGCTCTTTTCCAACGAAAGTCTATAATTGCTTCAGTTGCTGGATTGTCATAAATATCGTCATTGTTTTCATAATAAATTACTCTAGCGAAAGGGCTCAACTTATTCTTTTCTTTCCAACTAATGCTGTACCATCGTGGTATGAATAAGGACAAAAAAAGATTTAAAATAAAATAACCTCTCCCTGGTTTATTCTGTTGTGAAGCACGATTATTTATAGTAAATTCAGGAAGTGGAACTACTCGTAAAGCTAATGGTGGCTTTTCAACATCTTTATTGACCAAGTCTTCTAATTTTTCATATATTGTATTCGTAATAGATTTGTATGTTTCCCAAATCATACTGTACCATTTAATTTTGTTAGAAGGTAAATTGATTTCAAACGCTCTAAATTTAATTCCATGATGACTATTCCTTTCTTGATATTTTACTGGAATAATAATATTGTGTTTTTGTATTGAAAGGTAATTTTGATTTGCAAAGCATTCTTTACGAAACAATTTTCTGATATAATCATCTATAAATAAAAAAATTACATGTAAATATCGAATCCTTTCCAAATCTTAAAAGAATTAAAATAACAAACCATAATTGTATTTAAATAATAGAGGAAGCGTCTTAGAAACGGTACTCATCCAACCTGCATAATCTGTTGCATGTCTAGAATAATATTCCAAAAGGTAAGCAACAATAATGGTACCTTTAATTTCACGACCTAAATTGTAAAAATAAAAAAATAATTAATTAATCCGCTTAATGATATATAATGCTTAAAAATTATTAATTAATCAATACTTGCCTATACAATGATAGATTGCTAATTCCAAAACATTCTCTATTTCATGCTCTTTGGTGTCGTGAATTTTAATCTCCTTCTTTTTCCAAAATGTTTTTCTCGGTATATGTAATTTATTGGCTTTATTAACGTCATCATCATTTCCAAATAATATAAATTTTATCAAATGATCACAATCACCAAGAATCAAATTTTTCATAACATTGCGTTGAACATCTAGCAATCTAAAGTCATCAGGCTTGTATTTGATAAATCTCCATATTATACGATTAATATATGCAACCATTTCCTCACACTTCGTTAAAAAATAGTAGGAAAATATGTTAATCCAGTTTTTTGTTAAGAAATATATCGAATTCGTAAAATAAATAGTAAACACTTACGAGATGTTCTTTAGTGTAATTTACAAGATTTTTCTTGCGTTTATTGATAAATTCCAATGCTTTACACGCATGTCTAATTGCATCAGCTTTATCAGTATCAACTCGCCACCGAATTTCACGAGTTTCAGGAGGTTCACTTTTCATGTCTTCGCTTTTTTCTTTTTCTGTTTCTTCACTTATATGATCATTCTTTGTTGTTTCTTTAATATCTTTCTCATTTACCTCTTTTACATTCTCTTTATTTTCTTCTATGTAATTCCAATGAACTTTCAAATAAAAACCTAAAAATCTACCATTCACTACGTAGAGTTTTAACTTTTCAACGTGTAAACTTGTTTCTTTATTTTCTTTATCCTCTGGAATACCATTTGTCCATATGTATTCAAGAAATGGTTTTCCTTCGTTAGGAAGACTATCTTTGTTTTTATTACCATCTTGGATTTGATGCCAAATTTGAACAGTGGACCTGCCGACAATAAGTTGTAAAGTTTCTACTTCCGTCCCTTTTTTGTTATGATAAAGGCAATAAGAATTTCTTTCGTAATCTCTTAACACCCATGGTTCTTTGTCGGTAACTATTGGTTCGAAATTAACATTTTTCTCGTAATGTACAATGTGACTAATATCTGGTTGTCTATTTGATTTTTTACCATATTTTTTATGTAATTCATTTTCTGGACTTATAGCCATATTTAATGTTTCCTTTATATCCCTTTTCTCTTCTTCCTCTTTTTTTTTAACCTCTTTAAGGACTGATGAAACTTTTCCATCATTATCGATTTGGAAAATATTTCCTGAAGTTCTGGCTAGACGAGTAGCAAGAGTAGCAAGATTATCAAGATTATCTTTCTCAAGATCTTTCTTAAGAAAATCAAATTCCATCGTTGTTTCAAAATCTCTAAAATTATTGTACATGTCCCAGATTATGATTTTCAGTTTTTCCCCTTTTGAGCTACTACCTACTACAACTAGTTTTTTATCTTCTTCAATGAATTCTAATAAGTGAATTTTTTCAATTCCATCAAATTTCTTTGATGTGGCTTCCAAACCATTTTCCATAAAGTATAACCTTAAGAAATAAACATATTAAATTTTAGTTATTTGATACTTTTATACGAGGTTTAATGTGTAATAGACATGAATTACTCACTTGACAGATTGAAGCCCTCGTGTAAAGCAGAGTAATTGCTTGTTCTTACTGATCGAGAAATTATTTCTATTATACTTTCTTGTAAGTTTATCCTGACTATTTTCGACCCTTATTGTAATATTATCCAATTTCATTTTTCCTAGGTTGTAAACTAGAAAAATTAAAAAAATATATATATATAATTTTATTGTGTATAATGTAATGACAGATTTATAAATTTTAAAATATAATTATTACCTTCAAGTAATTGTACGTTATCTTTGTAATTTTCAACCAGAAAATATTTAGTATAAATACAAGATGAAATTAGGTTTATGCAATCAGATATTTCTGAAGAATCTAATGCCTTTAGTTCACGATCGATACATTGCGGATAACCAAATTTTTTATATAAACTAAAATTATCTTTACATTTAAAACTATATATACCACTGAAATTCAATATTATGAATCTTCTTAAAGTAAAACCTTCTTTGTTATTTTCTGAACTAGGAACTTCATTATTGCTTTTGGACACATGTATAAATTTACATATTCCTGAAATACCATAAATATGATGGAAATCAGTCTTACTAGTAAAACCATAATGATTTCCTTTTTTAATTTCTAGTCCAACGCGGTAGATGGTGGTCCTAGTTTCTTTTTTCCTCATATCCTCATCATCTATCTTTCTTTCTTCTGTTTTACTCTTCATATCCTCATCATTTATATTAGATACGGCAACAAAAATAAAGTACTTATTATCGTTCTTGCAAACATTAGATATGTCTAAAGACCATCTGTTACTCAATATGGTTTTTTTGACTTCGTCATTATTTGAAGAAACAACGTTGGTATATTCATCAATATTAATTATTTCATCTTTTTTTTGGTCGTTGCTTCCATCAAAACATTTACAAATAGTAAAATCATTTTTTATTTCAAAATGTATAATCATTTTGTTAATTTCATCGGATTCGTTATGATCAGTTTTCTCCAATATTTTAATCCGAAGGTTTGCTAATTCAAAAGAAAGAATTAACGTTAAAAATTTTTAATTTTGTAACAGCTAATATGAAATAATGAAATTACCTGCATCAAATGTAGCAACAAATCTCCCATCCTGACTTATTGCGATATGATAATCTTTCTTTTCATTAGTACCACTATCGGTGCTTGAGTCGTATGATTGCGAAACGTTTTTGCTTTTAATCGAACTTGCTTTCTTGTATTTATTATACGGTTTAGTAAAAGTGTCGCCAAGATTTTTATCTTCATGTTTAAAAATTATGACTTCTTGATCACGATCTATTGATTTCCTAGTATCAGGATTATCTACAAATAAATATCTAGTATAAATATTTTCATTAGCCATTTTCTTTTTTTTTGATTCGTGAATATAAATTGAGAAAAATTGAGGTGAGAGTCCTTATAAATACATATTTTATCTTTTTTTTTCATCGAAAATTTTTTTTTTTTGTAGGGAACAAATTTGGTATTACAACATGTTAACTCGTTAAATTAGGAAAGTAAATGAAAGTAATTACATATTTGATATTCCCTTTATGAACATTATACCAGTTCACAAATTTTGTCATACCAATTACGATCTACAAAATAAATTGATATACTGTATATCTAAATGTTAAAGTTTGAAACACCATTTTATAACGAAACGATCGGTGTATAATATCATGTAAATATTAACGTTAAGCTTTTTAAGCTGAACATTACAGTATATTATAACCTGGAATAAAATGAGAATTTAGCTTCCATACTAGCTTACTAATTGAATAGTAAATTAATATTTGGTTAATTTATTTATTATTGTTTATTTACTTTTTTATTGAAAAGATTTTTTTCTGTTTTTCGTTTTAATTAACATATATAAGTTCATTCAATTCATTCTGTAGACAGTATTAGGTTTAGCTTATGTAACATAAAACTTGTGAGCCAGCATTATGCCTCATTATGTACTATCTTACAATGAATTCGTAAAAGGAAATATTTAATTACCTTCCTATTTAAAGTTTTGGATCACCATCTGATTGTGAACATTATGTTGTTTTACGCTAAATTCTATTATTCTATTAGCGTGAAATAAAATGAGAAAATTTATCTTCGGTTTTCGGATACAAATGATGCAAATTCATTCCAATTTGGAGTTATTATGTGCCAGGAACCAAACAAAATGAACAATAGATAAAATAAAGATAAATAATTTATTATTCATATTTTTTTTTCTCCATATGTTAGTATGTATTTACAATTTCTAAAATAAAATAAAATAAAATGAAAAGAAATTAATAAAAATGCAATATTTTTTTTTTTTTTTTTTTTTTTTGAAAAGATTTTTTTCAAGGACAAACCGTTGTGTTACATGATTATCTTTAAAAAAAAATTCTTGTTCCTTAAAAATAGTATCTCAATCGTTAGTTTAGAATTGAGAAAGAGAATATTTTTATTTCATGCATGCACGCCTTTATTGATTTATGAAACTGAAGGATACAAATAATTCAAAATAAGATTTCAATACATGCAAAGTATACTTATACGCTTTTCAAAACCACCAACTCAGAAGATTAATTCTTAGTATCCAATAATCCAAAATTCCAAATCGTTCCCCGTTTTTTACATTCTCCTTTACACCACATACCAGCCTTTATTCTTGCCTTTTGACCTATCCTATTTTCTTTATCATATATATTTTTTTCCGATTTAAGAATAAAGTTAAATAAAATTTCTTTTCCATTTTCGTCTTAACGTTAATGTTTCCCTTGGATTCCTTCATTATCCCTTCTGGTCTTGGATTTCTTGGGGATGACGTCATTTAAAGTTCTAAGAAAGTATAATTCTGGTCAGAATTATATTAATTACAAATGTCCAAAATGGAAATGTGTAACATTATCATGATCTGAACTCTACGTCATTTCTGGCAATGACTTGCTTTGAAAGATGTCATGTGATTCGAAAGAAACCAATCAACTTTCCTGTTCAATATCTTCAGCACCTAAATTCTTATATTCATATTAACTTGACTTTCATCCTAAATTCCAGAAGTTTAGTAATATTATTTTATCCATTTCATGTTATAATATATTCAATAATATTCAAAAAACATATTAATTCATAATGATTGTGATTAGTAAGTAGCTTTACGAGATAGCAACTTACCTGCGTGTAGAGACAATTTATTATTTTATTTATATAATAAAAATTCAAAGGTATATATTGAAGTGTATTCCACGAATACAATGAGTAATAATTTTTTCAAAATTTCATATCGAGATACGTGCGTTCGTCTTCTAGTTTATATTAGATATGATTGTTAAATCACGTTTAATTTTTATTGAATAAATTTTGATTGTATGATTTAATTATTATTATAACAAATTAAGAAGACGTAGTTTTTTTTTGAAATTTTAAATAATGTGATATTACTAGTGAAATTTCAGGATAATAATCTTCTCATAAAAAATATTTCATGGTTCGTCTACTGTCCTTCTTATATTATTTATATTATTTTGATTAGGTTGACTGCGGGCAAAGTATCGTTATTATTATATTGTTATTATTGTTATTGAACAATCACAACAATCACAATTTATTTTTTTTTTTATTTTTGAAATTCCGAAATTCCGAAGAATATGAAAACCCGTTTATTACAGATACTTATATCATTTTTTTTATTTTAAATGAATGTATTTTATTTCGTATTATATAAAAATAACAATAAACAATATCTGCTCGTAAGTATTGTGATCGAGACAGATAATCATGTGATTTACACGTAATCTGAGCTTCTGAGCTTATTGAGCTTATTAATCAGATTTGTTTTTCGCGTTTCAGGAAAATCTGAGTCATTCCAAATAAGTTATGAGTCATTCTGATTTATATAAAAGACCCTACTTCCTCTTTTCTTTTTTTTTGTCTTTTCTTTTTAGACTTCACTTTTTTTCGGTCTTTCTTTTTAGGACTTCTCCTTCTTTTTGTCTTTCATTTTCGGTTTTTTCTTTCTTTCGGTCTTACACTTTAAGACACCATCTTCTTTTTTTCTAGGTCTTTTTTTTGTCTAAAACTTCACTTTATTTTCGGTCTTTTAGGACCTCTCCCTCTTTTTTTTGGTCTTTCATTTTCGTCTTTTCTTTCTTTCGGTCTTCACTTTTTTTAAGACACCATCTTCTTTTATTCTAGGTCTTTTTTTTTGTCTTTTTAGGACTTTACGTTTTTTTCAGTCTTTCTTTTTAGAACTTCTCCCTCTTTTTTTTGGTCTTTCATTTTCGGTTTTCTTTCTTTCGGTCTTCACTTTTTTTAAGACACCATCTTCTTTTTTTCTAGATCTTTTTTTTTTGTCTTTTTAGGACTTTACGTTTTTTTCAGTCTTTCTTTTTTGGACTTCTCCCTCTTTTTTTTGGTCTTTCATTTTCGGTTTTCTTTCTTTCGGTCTTCACTTTTTTTAAGACACCATCTTCTTTTTTTCTAGATCTTTTTTTTTGTCTTTTTAGGACTTTACGTTTTTTTCAGTCTTTCTTTTTTGGACTTCCCACTCTTTTTTTTAGTCTTTCATTTTCAGTTTTTTCTTTCTTTCGGTCTTCACCTTTTTTTACTGTCTTCTTTTTTCTTCTTAAGGTGCATTTGCGAAATCAATACTTGGGTTTCAAATTTCAATATTAAAGGTATGTTAAACCATTTCCCTCGTTTCTGGTGAAGGTGAACAAGTGGATGCAATGATCAAGGAAGTTACGGCAACCTTGTGAGTCTGGCAGGTCTATCTATGATAACTCTGTTAACTGACGGACCTGGCTGAGAGATACGGATCAGATCTTCTCAGTGTTGAGGTCTACTATTCCGCAATCAGGAATAGTTATGTGCCTTCCTCAACTTCTTTCATGCA